CTATATTATTGGGTTACTTGATGCGACTTCAATATTGTTCGAAACTATTATGTAGTTTATTTTAATTTACAATATTGTGTTATTGAGTTGAATTAATAAGTGTGTGTTTAATTCAATTATACAATATAGTTTATTTGATGTGTATAGTCATCAATTGTTTATAAGTTGACTTGTGTGTGTATTTAATACAATAGATAAAAATTGACTAGACCAGTTATGACAATTCTACCGATAGTCAAGGGAAAAGATCTATACTAGTGTCTAAGACACGTATAGTAGTGAATGGGTTGAATAAGAGAAATTTTTTTGATAATGCTAAGGAGTTTAATGAAAAATGTTATAGATACACTAAGCTAGTATACCAAATTAAAAGAGACAAGTTAAATCAAGCTAATTAGCTATAAAGTATAATTTAGCTAAAAGTTAAAATGTTACTGAGTTGCAAACTAGCTAGCTTAATTATAAGTTAAAGCAATCATTGAGGTACACAAAACCTTAGAGACGGAGGAAAATCTGTTAGCTAGTTTTAATTCTCAACTTGGTAGTAAAAAATGAGAGCGTGATGAGAAGAGTGTGCTTAATTTAACTTAGTCGTAATAGTTAAAAACTCACTTTTAGCTAGTAGTGATAGTTGAGAAGTGAGTGCTTACTATATGGTAATTGTATCAAAAGCTAAAATAATAAAGTGAGTTATTTTCTTATATGATTAAGTTATGTGATATATGACACATGGAAAGTTAGGACATGTTAATATAAGCTGACTTAACATGAACCTAAACATAGATTACTCAATTCATAAATATGAAAAATGTAGAAGCAAATATTAATTAGATGTAATTAATATATTTAGCATTAATTAACGTATAGTAATGTTTGTGACTTATTATACAAATAAGCTAGAGATAAAATGAGTACAGTGGGTATATACGAACTAAAGACTATTATACATGGTTGTTGTGAAGTAAATATAGAATCTTGGAAAGATAGATGAGGTAAAGTATTTAATATATAGTATTTCAAGAATTGAAAAATCACAATAAATACATCATATATCAAATTTCCGGATTATCCCAAAGTTGTCGGGGCATATTATCTATAGATGAAATTTGTTACAAATTACTTCATCTTAAGAAAAATACTTATAAATGTGGGGGTTCTGAATCCTAAAAGATTTAGGATAAATCCAAAATTATTTATTGTATTGATTATAACAGTACTGTAACTCGTTTCCTATGAGGAAATTATTATGTAACAACTAGAAGAATTCTTTTTCTAGCTGAAAAGTTGAGTTATTTGTTTCAGCTGAAGAGCTAAGTGTGCAAACTTATCAGTCTTTTAGTGAATTAAAGTAGGTACCAAAACAATGAGATAAATGTGATACATAAGTCGTTGTATGTCTTAAACATGGGTAATATACTAATTGGTATGAAAGATTTAATATCAAATAGCATAGTATAGTCTTAATAGTGAAAGATTTAGATAATACTAGCTAAGATAACAAAAGCCTAGTTAACTTTTGTATTACAGGTTGAGAATGTAATGCAACTTAATAAACGTGATTAATTGCGTAGTACCCATCTTCACAGAGTTAGTTCTCATTGTTGTGTTCATTTTGGGTTCATCTAAGGGCACTCATGAAGACCAGGAGTTTTTCAAGGCCAAAATGAACACAACAATGAGAATTAACTCTATGAGGATGGGTAATGTGTGTTAGCTAATGTCTTTATTTACACAAACAACTGAACAATTTAAGGCATTACATCTACTGATTAGCCAATAAATTTGATAGTTATACACTAGGAAAGATTCAAAGCCAAAAGTTATTTATCCTGATACAGGAACTTTCTAAATATACTCTCTATAGTTTCTGCCTAATCATCTTTTGTATTTAAGTAGCCAATTTTCATTTATGCGGGGGATTGTTGGAACATGGGAATGAAAATTTCCTGCAACGTGTCTATGTATATCACATTGCAGTAACTTAAATGTCAACTGTTACATGGGCATTTACCTGCATCATAGCATACAGAAGTCAAATCATTTAACGTATCCTTTTATGGGAAACCTTGATGATAAGTCCTTTAATGTAATTTTTTTGGGACCAAAAAACTATGAAAGTTATCGACATAAGCTACACCTACATAACACATCGACGGGTCTTGTAGATGATTAATAACAGAAAGAATGCGTTGTAAGAAACAGATGCAATCATTGGTTGTGTGAGAAGTAAGGATGTGTTTGGGAGTGGTTATGAATCACATTTATTCAAACCAACCGTCTTAACCATTGGAAGTGGTTAATTATGTCTGGTGATAAAGAGACACCACATTTGTCTATAAATACACAAACCCTTAAACCTGCATTGAATATTCTGAATTCATAGAACCTTATGTGAATTCTTAGATTTCTTTCTTCCTCTCTCATGAACCCAAGTGGTTTAAACCCAAAAACCTATGGCACCAAGTCATATTGAAATTGGTTCAAATCTTTTCGTTTGATCATAGTGAACCCATTTCATTATTTCAGTAGTATAGGTGCATTTCTGAGTCAAAATAGAGAGTATTTTACAGAGGAGGCCGTATCCACGAGTTTGAAGTGCTGCTACTGGTGGATGGAGACCGTTGTATTCTGGGACACAGTCGTCGTGGAGTCCGACAGCACCATACGGGGCGTAAATTGTCTTAAGGACATAGTATAAAATACTAGCCTTAGTTTAGGTTATTTATTTTATTATTATTATTATTATTGTGTTATTTTGCATCTTTAATTAAATATTGAGTTGCATATTTAACTAATTATTACATAGCAAATTAGTACAAGGTTTGTTATATCTTAAATGTCACATGAATCATGTATAAGGTGACCAAGGCGGTCGCCTAGGGCCTCAACATTTAAAGGGCTTCAAATTTTCAGCCCATAAATAATAGGCCCCCAAAAGAAAAAGGCCCCCCAACCCTACCCCACCCCTCGGGCCAAAAAAAAAAAAAAAGAAAAGAAAAAAACTTTGGTCCCTTCAATTAAACGAATTTACACTCTTGTTAGCCCATTCAAAATTGGAGCCCTTAAAAACTTAGTGATTAAATTCAAAATTGAATATGACCCTTTAATATTTTATGTGCATATTGGTGTGTCTTTTAGAACTCTGAAATTAAATGCGGTCATTTACTAATTTTATGTGTTAACATATATGTATGTCAGTAATTACTTTGAAATTGAATACAGTCCTTTATTATTGCGGTAAATAACATATTTTTTTATGAAATTTGAATAAATATAAATTAATTCTGTATTACTTATATAATTGATTTGATATAAAGGGAAAATGCTTGGGTCTAAGTTTGAAGTCATTTGACGTTGACAAGAACTTCGTTAAAGCAAAATTCTACATTTTTTTTAGAAATTTAAAATAGATTGAAAGTTCAAAACTTGATCTATTTGAAAACTTAAAAATCTTTTTGGAGTTTAAATTAATGTGACGTTAATCTAACTCTTTAGCTCATCTATTCCGTGAGAGTGAACTAACCATTTGTTAATAAAATACATATTTTTTATTTTTTTATAAGGGATGACAAATGTAAAATTTAAGAGAAACTAATAGAGTGTATTTTGTTTTTTGTATTTTTAACATTAATATATTTTATGTGATTATCTTCTCATTTTAATAAAAATTCCGCACTCTCATAAATTTTTTACGCGTATGAATGCTTGTGTATAAAGGGCGTCACATTTAAGTTTGCCTAGAACTTCTTAAGATTTTGTCAATCTCAAGGCCGGCTCCGTATTTTCCAATAGCATTTTTCAATAAAAAGCGTATGTTTGTAAGAATGACGGAGCATGAAATCAGAATCTGAAGGAGTACTGGTGATGCATAAAAGGAAGTCAGCTGGGAAGTAGAATTATAGTAGCAAAAATAAAAATAAAATAAAATAAAATAAAATAAAGAGATTAAATTCTCAAGTCTTAAATACAGTACTATGAATAGACTTGGTGATAACCCAATTTTTACATAAAATTTCAAATAGTAATGATATAAATATTAGTAGTACCATTAAAAATAATTTGTGTAAGTTACTGGGGGAGTGGGAATGCTCCAAATATATATTCCCATTGTCCCAAATTAACGTTCCTTTTGAAAATAGTGACTCTTATTGTGACACAATGTGAGTCACAGTTCTCAAATGCAACATTTAATTTATATATATATATATACATGTATATATATATTACATATTTACTTATATGTGTCTATATATAAAGTTCAACAACCTATCATACATAATTCCCAAACAAACACGTTTCCCAAACAATCTCACTGATCCGGGGCTTTACTGAACTTTTAAGCTCACCACTCTCTTTAACCGTGCCCGTGGAAAAGAAATGGAAAAATTGAAAGATAATAGAAGGCAACAATCTCCTGGTCAAAGAATGGCCAATTGATAGGGAAAAAAAAATAAAAAATAAAGTCAATCCTGGAAATCAACGAATTAATTAACAAAGCAACACAATGTTCATAAATAATAAGACTCTTCAGATGGATCATTTAGCAACTTATTATCACAACTCTCAACATAAAAATTAAAAGGGAAATTCAAATTGAGGTATATAAATAAAATGCTGGCATACATTGGACGCGTTATTAGTTTCTGTTTGGCTAGATATATAAAACAAAATCATGCATAATACAGTCTCTCACACCTCAATATATGGATCTTAGATCGTCATTAATTCCATAGATTTTAACCAACAATACAATTAGATTATTCCATTTCCCAAAATATGAATAAGAGGTTAATTAATTTGTTCATTGCACATAAATCTGTGGATTCTGTTGTAAAATTTTATCATAGTAAAAGGAGTTACGAATGGATATATACTATATTGTCGTCTCCTTTATAAACTGAATTAAAACGGTTCGGTTATTATAATATATACCCAAAAACCAGTCTAAAAATACAGCTAACTTAATTTGGTGTTGCAAATTTGAAAATAATTCACAGAAGGGTCATCAATCCGGTTCAAACTTTCCATAAGACAAATCATTATTATTATTAATTTTTTCAGTCGAACCATATATTTACGGAAAAAAGAAAAAAAAATTCATCACTTCTCCATTGCCGGCACTTGGACGAATAGGGACAAAAGGTACCCCAATTTTAACAGCCAGTGACGGAAAAGCGTTTCCGTATGCTTCATCTGCAAAACATGATAATCCAAACATCATCACACCATGGATAATCGAACAAAATGAATGAGAGTTATGAGAGAGACATAGAGAGAGAGAGAGAGAGAGAGCACGTACAGCTGTCCGGAGCCATGGATAACTTTCTCACAGACAGGACAGGTGAAACCATGATAATCGAAATCATGAACAAACAGCATATGATAGAAGAAGAGGTCGGGGAAGCTTTGCTTATCATTTTAATTTGTTTTTATATATGACAACAACAAAGAACTGAACAGATCTGTACAATGTATGCCTTATATAGTACATTATATATTATTGGATTGGACAATATATATATATATATATATATATATATATATATATATATATATATATATATATATATATATATATTATTAGATTAAATTCACAAAACTCCTACGTACTTCTATTTATTTATTCTTGCTACCAAAATTGACAAAAATACCCTTTAGCACCAATAATAAAAGGCTTAAATTCATAAATAAAATATGATATTACACTATATAATCTATTATTTTAAAATTTAAAAATAACTAAAACCATCTAAATACATTACATTATGTAATAAATTAGTAATTATATAAGAAATTCATTTTATAATAAAAAAAAATTCTATAAAATAATTTACCCATATAAATCCAATAATATGATATTAAAGATATTGATTAAATATTATTAAATATTCATAACATATAAAATAGTCTTTATAATATGAAATAATATAATATTTGTGTATAGTATGTATTATATATAGTATTTTTTATTTTATTACATAATATAATGTATATTTACAACCCCATTCATCAAACATAGAGGCAAAGATAATGACAGGACAAATAATGTTTAGTTATCTTTGTTAGTACCTTTACCTAATATATATGATATAATTATATGAATGATATATTAGCATTGCAAACTATATAATATATTATATTAAAAATAAACAATAATATGCAAAATTATTATTATTATTATTATTATTATTATTATTATTATTATTATTTTATTTTTTATTTTTTATTTTTTAAACCATGATAAACTAATTAAAAGTAATTTAATTTTGTTAATTAAATTATTAAATTTAATTTAGCAAAATTATATTTATATATAGTACGTATAGTACTAAAGTGTTAAAAATAAAAGTAAGATGAGTTTTGTTAATTTAATTTTTAAATTTATTTAAATAAAGAAAGGTCATTTTGATAATTTCTGCTGTCAAACTAATGGTTCCGTTCCGTGACAATTTTTTCCCTTATACTCCACGTTGTTTGATACTCCACGTTGTTTGATACTCCAGTGCATGGGTAAAGCGTATAAAAAATTAAAAAAAAGAAAGAAAAAAAGAAAAGAAAAATCGATATTAGTTGGATTGCTTTGTGAATTTCAAGTGAGCCATCACGGGCTTAGAAGACTCTGGCGTCTGAAGTGGGTTTTACTTCTTGATCTGCGGATAAGTATTCAGTACTTAAGATATTCTGTATTTACTTGTGCTTTCAAATTCGGCTACTTCCTTTCCTTCTTATCTCACATTTTATACATATTTTATACGTGCATTTCTTTTGGCCTAAAAACACAATTGCTCACCTACACAAAATAATTAATTCTGTGACTTTTGGACCGCCAATTTCCATAGAATTTAATGTGTTTAGATTTTGTCTCCAATACAAATAAAAAGTCATGGAAAAGAAAACTAATATTCAATTCATGTGCTGCTGACTTTAAAGACCAATGCCCAAGGTTATACATGCCATAATATTAATATTAAAGACCAACGCCCTAGTCTAGAGAAAATAAAAATATCTAGAAAGTGGTTTTAACCTCACGACGATGTTTTGTGATGCACAAATAATTATCTTAAGCCTATATAGTTTATTTGAATCACCACAGTGTCAAATGGACATGCTAAAAGATTTTTTTGACCGAATTGTCAATTTTTTACTGCAGACAACTCATAGGGCAACACCCACGAGTATGCCGTGTTATATATCATTTAGGGCATCAAAATAATATATATATATATTTCTATTGTCCAATCCAATAATATATAATGTACTATATAAGGCATACATTGTATAGATCTGTTCAGTTCTTTGTTGTTGTCATATATAAAAATAACATGGGCTTAAGGCCCAAAGACTACCATACAATGAGGTCAAGGTCTTAAAGTTTTAATAATTGGATGGATAACCAAAATATATATTATTAGATTAAATTCACAAAACTCCTATGTACTTCTATTTATTTATTCTTGCTACCAAAATTGACAAAAATACCCTTTAGCACCAATAATAAAAGGCTTAAATGCATAAATAAAATATGATATTACACTATATAATCTATTATTTTAAAATTTAAAAATAACTAAAACCATCTAAATACATTACATTATGTAATAAATTAGTAATTATATAAGAAATTCATTTTATAATAAAAAAAATTTCTATAAAATAATTTACCCATATAAATCCAATAATATGATATTAAAGATATTGATTAAATATTATTAAATATTCATAACATATAAAATAGTCTTTATAATATGAAATAATATAATATTTGTGTATAGTATGTATTATATATAGTATTTTTTATTTTATTACATAATATAATGTATATTTACAACCCCATTCATCAAACATAAAAGGCAAAGATAATGACAGGACAAATAATGTTTAGTTATTGTGGAGGGCAAAAAACTCCCTCCAATAAAAAGCGCACACGTCACCACCACACATATCTACATTCCAAGGGCATTTAAGGCCCATCATGCTCAAGCCCAAATTGAGGGTACTTACAGCCCAAGACCATCGTTATTTATCCTCCAACTTCCATCAAGGCCGAATTAAGAAGTCATCAGCCCAGCTTATGAGTATTTAACATCCGGCCTGTTGCTCAAGCCCAGCCGGATCGAAATATATTCAGCCCAAGAATGCACGAGTCCTACCATTTGAAGGATTTACTGTAGAAGGAAAATTCTGATAGGAAGTTCTGTACAAGGCAAGTTCTATGTATGGAAAATTCGACAATAGAAAAAACTCTATTAGAAAAGAATGGTTATATAGAAAGAATTGGAGGGCAAGTAACGCAAGTCCTACCATAATTTTGCAATCTTTTGTATATAAATAGAGGCTAAGACCTCCAATAAAGGATCAAGCAATTCCACACTTCTCTATACATTGTTCTTATTTGTTTTTATTGTTTTTGAGTGAGTTGTTTCATTTTTCTCAATCATTATTGGTTGAGCGAAATTTTGCACCTACATTTTGGCGCCGTCTGTGGGAACCGTATAAAAATATACTCCCACTTGTTCTTCAAATTAAATCCTTTAGTCGTGTCTGGAATGTCAAACGGAGAGTCAGCAATGAATCAACAGATAGAATTGATGCAAAAGATGCGAGAAGAGTTCTTGCACCAATTTGAGACACTCCGGCAAGCAAACGATACGAGTGTCGCCCAGATAGCTGCGCTTCAGCAGCAGACTCATACGCTGCACACGGCCATGGCCAGGCTAACGCCACAACCACCACCAGGCGATGTTGCGGCACCACCCCCCACCCGGAATTTACCTCCGGTTCACGAGCCTCCAGCCAACGAGATACCACCCAACGGGGCTCGACCTAGTGAGGTTCAGCAAAAGCAAGGGACGAGGTCCGAGGCGGTTGCTTCGGATAATCTCCCGCATCGCACACAGGACGAACAGGCCGAGTCCAGCCATAGGCTTACGGTATGGTCCAATGGCGTTCCAGATGGCGCACGTGTACAAGATGCCTTCGACGAAAAGAAGCTCTTGAGAGTCCAGACACCAGCCGAGATGGCTAGAGAGCACAAGAACTCCTTGGTCAAGACCCCCTTTACTGACGAGGTGTACCTTGTGGAGAGGCCGAAGAAGTTCACTATGCCATCCTTCACCCAATTCGATGGGGCAGGAGACCCCTCTCGGCATTTCGATCATTATGCGCAAAAGATGGCACTGGACGATCATAACGATCCGTGGATGTGAAAGGTTTTTCCTACCAGTTTTACCGGAGCAGCGTTAGAATGGTTCAGGAATAGGCCACACAAGTCTATCCCTGACTATGAGACCTTGTGCACTATGTTCTTAGCCCAGTATTGTGGAAATAAGAAGCAGAAGAAAAGTATCGCCAGCCTTTTCACCATAAGGCAAAGGAAGGGAGAAACTTTGTAAGATTTTTTATCCAGGTTTAACATGGAGGCCTCGGAGATAGCAGATTGCCATCCTGCCACGGCAATCGAAACATTTAAGTTGGCAATGATCCAGGGAACCAAGTTTCACACATCCTTGGTCAAATATTCCCCCCCGGATATGCAGACTTTGAACGCTAGGGCACAAATCTACATTCGGTTGGAGGAAAACGTAGCTCACCGTGCACAGCACGCTACCCTCGTCACAGTGGAAAACAAGTCTCGAGAGAAAGCTGCGAGCACAAGGATGCAGAAGGTTCCTCATACCGCCACACAAGTCACCCAAGCGTCTGAGAAAAGGCGAAGGACAGAGGACAAGCTTACCCCTCTCCGTACTACCTTGGCGCGCCTATTCCAAGAGAATAAGACGAGGTTCGCGACTCCTCAGCCCATGAAACAACCCTTGGAGCAGAGGGACAAAAGCAAACATTGTGCCTACCATAGAGATTATGGGCATACCACCAATGACTGCAGGTCCCTACAGCGACAGGTAGAAAGCATGATAGCAAGAGGAGAATTGGTGGAGTATCTCGCCACGAAGGAGCACGTAAAACCTCGGGAGGTTAACCCTCGACGGGTAGAGGGCGGTCAGGTAAAGGTTATCCATGCTATACACGGAAGGTCAGAGGATGATGAAGAGTCTGAAGAGTTGTACAGATCCAGGCTGAGAGAGGCTCATAAGTTACGAAGATTGTCTTCGGTAAACACGGTTGCACCAGGCAACATCAACATTGGATTCGGTAACAATGATCTTTCTAGAGTCCAGCGCCCGCATGAGGACCCCTTGGTCATCAGCCTCCTGGTAGCGAATTACATGATCAGGAAAGTGCTGATAGATCCGGGAAGTAGTGCCAACATCATTACAAAAACAGCTTTTGATCAGTTGGGGATTGCACCATCGTCCATCAGGCCAACTTCCGGCCCCCCTAATGGGATTTGATGATACAAAGGTGAATCCGCTTGGGGTGATCGATCTATCCGTTACTGCAGCAAAAAGAACTCTGAAGGAAAACTTCGTCGTGACAGAGATTCATCCATCTTATAACCTCATTATGGGGAAAGGTTGGATCCATCATATGAACGGAGTCCCCTCTA